TTCCAACCAAACGGGGTTAGGGGAAATTGTCGTATTTTTTCTCGCTTTCGCTTTTCCGGGGGCAAAGCCCCGAAAGCCCACCCCACAGCGGAGAGGGATTTAGGATTAGGGATTCAGCAGTTGTGAAAGAGAAATATATTTCGCAGTGAAATGCTACAATATTTCTCCATGGGCCCCATCTCGCCCCCCATCTTATTATTTGTGCTGAGGTTCTATTTGTGAAGAATCCACCCCATAAAGTTGGATTCTCGCGTGGATGTACAATCTGAGACTTGCTCTATATATCTCAGATAAATTTATTGATCCTCCAGTAAATTTCTTTTATTTGCTTCTTATACATCTTCCGCTTGAAAATCATGCGCACATGAGTTGGGGATATTGGGGGGCGAAAAAAGCCGTGGGGAGCTCTCCCAAAGAAAACCCACTGAATCTCTCTCAATCAATTATAGCGACATTTTCCACGGCCCAAGGGCGCTGCCCCATCGCGGATGAGGAAAACACTCTCGCCAGCATAGAGCAAATGATTTCCCAACTATTTCCGATGCCACACTCTGCCGAATCGACAGTGATATTAAAGTAAATAAATCGACTTTCAAGTGTTTTACGCTATCTTCTCACGCAACAATAACATCTAAGCCGAGGAAAGAGTCACAGAGAGTGTATATGAAAACGTTCCTTCTTCGGGATTTATCGCGGAGACGTTTATTTTTTGTGTGCTTTCTTTCCACTTTTTGCCCAACAGCACTTCTCTGGCCAAGAGACTTTGCCTCGCCTGGATTTTCCTCCAGTCACACAGAGACTCAGTCCAGATGCTCTACTGAGAATTTCTCCCTAAATTACTCTCTTAAAGACTTAATATTGCCATGCAATTGAACTATAAATTCGTGTTGAAGTGATTTTCTTCCTCGAAAAAATTAACACCTTGATTGTCGTGCATTGTGCTTTTCCTGCTGTTGTTTTTTTTTTTACTTTCCACCCACTGAAGAATTTTCAATAGAAACATATTTTCATGCAAAGGAAATTTCTTCTTACCCCATTTGCATATTCTTGTGCAGAAAACATTGTGGGTGGAGGAAAAAATGGCAGTGAGAGAGAGAAAGAGGAAAACAATGTGGATTTTCATTCATTTCCATGAGAAAGTCAAGAAATATACGCTGTGACTGGTAGGGAAGAAGTGTCCCGAGGAAAGTCTTCTTATTGGCAGTGAATTGACTCATGAAATTTGAGTCAAATGAAGACATTTGCCGAAGCAACAAACATTTCATCGTGTGGAGAAAAGGGAGAAAAAGAAAAACCACACAAGATATATTCAATTGCAATATTCTCACGAAATTCACATCACAACAATTTCAGCAATTGATTTTGAGACACCCAAAGTTTGGCGTGGGAGTTTTGTTGGGAGGCTTTGCGGGGGATATTTTGAGGGTTGTTTTTATTTTTCACTCTAGAGAAGTTGTTTGTCGGTGGAATCTCACTGGGAAATCGTGAAATGTGGCCATTTGAAACTACTTGTTATCGATTTTTCGTTTGGGATTTCTCTGTGTCAACAATAAATCACGGGGCCAGAGGCGAGCCCCCGCGCCCTCCCACAGACCACAGAGTCCCCCCGTACAAGGGCGTGGCACCCACATTTTGGGGCGAGAAGCACACACACACACAATCACATATTTCAACCCCCGAATTTATGGCGGTGCTCTATTGTGCAACAAAATCAACTCTATTTTAATTTGAATCGCACAAATCACACATCATTCATGCGTTAAAGCCCACGGAGCTTTCACCCACATTCACCCCACTCGGCGTGCGCAAAAAAGTGTGGCGTCACGGGCAAAAGCTCCCCCGCGACACGTGCCACAAATCAAACGGCAAAATACCAATTGAGCCTTGATTAAAAATTCACAACATGAATGTGGTAATTGTTGGCTAAATGCAATTTATGCGCACTTTTGCAGTGCGACGATGGACACAAAGTGCACGAGGAAGAGCAGCAGCCGGAGTGTGAGAGAAGAGCCCCAGTGACGACACCACCGGAAGAATTTGCATATAAATTGAGAATGTGTTAGAAAAATTGAATGTTCTCTCCCGTCTCGCCACCCTCGGCATCACCCACAAAATTATGTGCACAATGTACAAGGAATAATGTAGAAATTTTCCCGGTGGTGGAAATTCATCAAGTGAGAACACACATCTTCTGCAAAATGTGTGGTGTCGTTCATAAAATTTAATTTTAGCCAATATGTCTGGAACATGTGGTGACATTATTCCATTTCAATGGCTCTAAAGTTTTGCACTGTGACTCTTGTGTTGTCTCAACATAAATTCCTCAATTTCACATCTCAACAGGAATTTCACCACGGCAATTGTGGGACTTTTCCTCACTATTTCGGCAATATTCCTCTGTGTCCAAAAAGAGAGGCATTTTTTCTCCCCTGTATTAATTGCAGCGCTCCACATCCGAGCGTTTTTTTTTCGCAATGCAGAAAATGCAGTAGAAATTTCCGGTGAAAAATCTAAAAGATCACTTCCTGATACCGCCAAACAAAGTGAGTAAAATGAAATTTATATTTCGCCTCGAAATTTAATTTGTGAGCATCCACTGACAAATTGATAGGGTCGTGTGTGTTGAGGAAAAAAGTGGCGGGAAATCCAATTTCTCCAGAGACAGCCACACCAATAAATTGTGGTTGATGCTGGAGAGCCTCCCTTGGAAATTAGAAGTCAATTTTGCTGATATATTCAATATCTCTCGCGCCAGTGCGTGTAACTTTAGAGGCCGCCCAATTTCTTAATGGAAAGCCGCAGCCATAGTGAGATTCCCTTCCATAAATCAAATATCAATAAATTTCTGATGCAATTACCCGAGTGAAACTCTCCCCAAATCACACTTTGTATTCTCCGCGACTGGTATTTAGATTTTATTGATGTGCACTGTAAATGGAGACTTTTTTTCCTTTGGGCCTCTCATGTGGTGAATCACATTGAAATTCGGGGAGGCATCGCGAATATTTGGCCACCATTTCTAATGAGGACAAATGCTTGGGGGCAAATATTGAAAGTTTTTTTGTTTGTGCGCCCGAATTGGACAAGACATCATGTTTTGTCACGTACACCTTTTTCCAAACTCTCAAAATAGATGCAAAGCAGAGTGATATCGCGAGACTTCGGGATCATTGGCTGGAGGGGCGTCCCGGAAAATTGTGCCGGAGGTTGTCTTGGTGGAAAATCCTCCTCTATGTGTGACCTGGAGGTCAGGAGAGCCCAAAATGCTTGGGGGAGATGATGTGTCGTTCGTCGCGTCCCAAGAATTCACGTTGAATAGCAATTAGGTGTTGACGTGTTTAGCGTGCGCCTTCGCCTTGCCCCGCCACGTCCCTCGATATTATTTGTATTTACACACTGAAAATTCCAAATTGGATTTGTGTATAAATTTGGACAGTTGGAGCCCCATATATGAAATGCCAGAGTGCCGTGGAGGAGCTCTCTCGGAAGAGATGAGGTTTATTTTTAAAACAGGTCGTCTTTTCGTTAGATCGCGGTCTATTCTCACACTTTCTTCCACCCATAATTGCCACTGTGATCATCAGAATATAAATTGACTTTTGACTAATTCCCCAACACTGCTTCTCGTGTGAAAATCCCTGCAAAGACGAACTGTTTCGGAGCTTTGCACATGCTTGTCGCCAAACTTCCTGGATCATATTTATGACAAATTGTGGGGCAAGATGACGAAAATCAATTAGGAAAAATATTCACACACATTCTTTTCCTTCCTCCGCCACCAATCAATTTCAATTGAGGAGGAGAAGCAGTATAAATAAACAATAAAGGAAGTTTTTTCGTGTGTTCCTCCCTCGTGTTTGTTTACATTGTAATTGAATGCAGACACACAAGTTGTGAATTAATCAGGCCCAAAATTGAAACAATTAAACAAGTTGAGTGGCGCCTACAGATACACAAATAAACAGCCAAATGCCTCTTCTTTTTCCCGTCTTTGGACGCTCTTTGGCATTTCCTCAACCAAACGAGCGTTCTTCATCATATCGAAAAGGGGGGAAAATTGCTGATAATTTCCGCATCAGCAGATAACATGGGGCTCTCGGTCAGGGTGACCCTGGGCTTCTCTGGGATGGTCAGAGTGATGTCTTATGTGAATTAAACCCTCGGCGTTGATCTCTTTTGGGTTCGTGGCTCTAAACAGGCGTCAGATTACGATCAAAATGGAAATTACTGTTATTGTTTGTTTATATGCAAACCTCTTTAAACATAGAGTCAACACTTGAGAGAATAAGAGCGGTGCGCCTTTGAGGTACCGCAGATTTATGGCATGTGAGTGATTTTTGTTCGTTTTCCTCAAGATTTTTGCTTTTGATATAGTCACATTTTTTCACTCCAAGTAATTTTTGTCTATATAACTTTCCCGGATTCCGGACACCATCTCATGGCAAACATTCCCCAGGTGAATCATGCAACAATACCTTCCAAATTGACTGATGTTCAACAAAAGAAAAAAAGTATAAATGGTTTTTAGAAGACACAAATAGCAATATTTGATTGGATATTTTTTTTTACCTTAGCACCGATTTTTCTCGCTGATGATGCGGTTTTGGGTGGGTTTTCGATGTTCTCAGAGAACGTTTAATCACAACAAAGAAACAGAAAGTATAACGAAAATTAAAACTGAGGAGAAGTGAGAAAATTGTGGGACTCCTCGTGAGAGAATTCACCGCAAAGAAAATATGTGTGATAAATAATTCATTTTCCAGAGAAATTAAATGCAGAGAAAACAATCATAAGAAGACAAATAAATTCGCTTGACTGTCTCGTGGTGCAATCTAGGCAAAGAAATGGCTCTAAGAGCTTTTGGAAGCTCCCAAAAACAATATATATGTATAGAATTGCCCCACGACAGTGGAAGTATAAAGAAAGTATATTAACACATATCAGAGGGAACATAACATATTAAATAACATAAATAAAATAAAAATAAAAAGCCAACTTACCTATCCAGTCTGGAAGCAATGAGCCCGCAAGAGATTCTGAGTATCTCTTACCTGGAAAGAGATGAAGAGAAGGAGACATTGAGTTGTTAGTTACAAACGAGAAAGAAGGTGAAATCACATACAAAACATTCAATTAATCAGCCAAGAGAGAGGGAGAGAAAAACGAGAGGAGAGAAAGTTGGAAGAAGGATGAGTGTGATAAAGAACAGAGATTAATGCCGAGTTAATCTCAATTAATAATTTTAATCACATCCCAACCGGATTGAGGGAGGTGAACGACGGGTGTGAAAAAGAGGTGGAGCATTCGTGGTGGAAAATTTAATGTGTACACAAGGCGAAGAGCGTCACTTTATAAATAATTTTATTGCACAGAGTGTTCTTCATTCTCATAGTCCCAATAAATCATCCAAATTACACAATAAGGCAATAAATAATTTACCATAAGGAGGCGCGCGCATAAGAACACACCTGACGCTGCTCATGTTTTGTCGCGATGCTCATTTTATTATAAATTCTACCTCCATGGCCTGAGTCTCGACCGGAAAGGGTCGGAGGAGCTCTTCCCCCCGTTTCCAACTAAATTACATTCTGCTGAATTTTATTAAATTATTTAGCAATTCACCCCGTTTGAATTAATTGCATAGCAGAGAGAGAAAGAGAGAGAGACCTAAGGAAAAATTCTCTAGAAGTCACTTCCAACTCAGAGACACTGTGGGAATGTGTGGCAACAGCAGCGTCCGAGAAATGACCACGCAATCCCCTATAACAGTGAACCATCTGCGGAAAAAGACATCTCTCCTCTGGCTTAAAAGTCCCAAATAGAGAAGTAAATCCCACCCACACTCTGGGCTTCTAAAAATCATGTGTGAGCAAACAAATCTCCGCTGAATCTGTAAAGTGTTGGGAGGCGAAAAAGGTCACATGGAAGGGTTGTAAAATTGCAAAACAATGAAGTTCTTCCCTAGCAATTTGCTCTCTCATTTTCTCACATGCGTCCTGCGAGAAGAGCCTGTAAATAAACCAATGTACATTCATGCATAAAATGAGAATGCTATAAGTTTTCCTCGGCTCCCCATACCGAAAACCACCCCCATTTCTCAATTCTCCACCCTGTGCCATTTTCACTTGTAGCGCAAAGAAAGGGGGGGGCAACAGTGGGGCTGATTTCGAGGGTGGTTTTGCATACATAAACTTGTCTGGTTTATTAGTAACACACCCTAATTCGTTACTCTTTGCAAGCCGGGAGACACTTGGTCACCCACCCCAAACTTGCACTCTCCAATCGATGCAATGTCCAAGAGTGGAATCGGACATTTGGACACTGCAGACATTGGTTTCCAGTGCCAACATTCCCGACCACCCGCCTCTTTTGCATACACCGGACTGCATAGTGTGCTTCTTTCGCATCTCTTTCCAGCCTGTCTCCTCGCCTGGAGGTCTTCTGGAATTAATTTGAACGGGAAGCAGCTCTGTCGCGACTCTGGTAAACTTCCGGATTTCAGAATTCACCTTGAAGTCCCAAAAGAGTCAGTTGCAGGTTATAAGAGATCAAACTGAATTTCCTAACTAGAAAAGGTCTTTTTCCTACTTCTTAGAACAACAAAATAATAACTAAAACAATTTCGATACCGGAAGGTTTACGAGTTTAAAGCTGACGGTCAGTTATTGGTTTAGACATACGTCAGTCGAGGAGGTGTGGCCACTTTGCAATGGGAGTTAACCAATACTCATGCAGACTTCCGAATCAAGTAAAATCTACATTCAGGCTAGATGTCAATGTTTTGACTTGAAGTTCATTCTCTGAATATTCTGCAGTAAATCATTTAAAACTTCTCAAGGTTCTCTTCTTGGGCTTATCAACCCCCTAAAGTGGACCTCCGCTGCCTCTTAGCAGACTATCTCACCGATCTCACTTCGCTACTCCCTCAGGGTAAGTTATCCAATTAAAGATGTGGCTCTGGCTTAAATTTGATTCAGACCCCAGCTCCTCACACCAAAAACTTTGATTGCCAACATAATGCAAAGTCATGGTGTGTTTATGTAACATTGTGTCTCGGAGTGAATTACACGGAGAGAGATACTATTGTCCTTGTGCAACATAAATATCCCCGTGCCATTTATCTGGGCGAGAGAGGGCACTCGTGAGTGTGAGTCTGCGACATATGCACGCTGCTGGCCACGTGCATTTCGGGCAGCATCCCCCCGTTGAAAATTTATGTATTGACAAATGAATGCATTGCCTGTTAATTGATCTACGGGGTGTCCTGCTAATTATCCAACACGAGATGTTGGCCCGAGGCAGGGCTTATGAATTTACAAGTTTGCCCCCATGAGAGAGCTTTCCACGAAAGTTTGCAGCCCCGCGCGCGCAAGTCGCACCTCACCCGGAACCCCTGCGGTGTGTGGGAATTTTGCGGATATCCTCCGCCAAGAGGACTGACGTTAATTAAAGAAAAGGAAAATTGAGAAGAAGGGAGGCAGGAAGTTGGGTTGAAAAATTGCACAAATTATTCAATTTGGATGTGAAATGAGTCAAAGTTGCAGAAAATTCTTCACCATTGTGTTTGTTTCTTTGCCACTTTTCTCCTCTGTGGCTGCCATAAATTCTACTCAAACCCGAGACAGTTTTCCGCCCCATCCCCATGGGGAGGGTGGTTTTGAGCTTTCCAACTTTTCAAAGAATGCTCATGTTAATTTCAACTGTAGAGAAATGGGGAGAGAGAGTATGAAAAGACGCCAAGAAGTAAGGTGGTTTGGAGAGATACATGCAACTATTGGGTATATGTATATTTGCTCTTAGACACATCACTTCTGTCCCAGATGGAATAGAGTGTAAACATGGAAGCTGTGTATCGTCAATTTCCCTTGACTAAAGACTGTAATTAAAGCAAATACACTCCTTCAGACTCTAGATAATTCGCCAAACCATTTCAAATGCATTTAATGAGTGCAACAATTTATTTTTGGACAACAATTGAGGGCTTGGCCATATTAAATTCCCCCGACAAAACACCACCCAACCACCTCACCTTTAATCATTCTACCCCCCATAATGCATAATCTGCAAATGTGTGCATTTTTAATGGCTTCCCCCTTGACTGCCGAAAAAAGTCTCCAATGAAAAATTTGGTGCTAAAAAATGTAAATTGCCTTTTATTGCGGGGTGAAAATTCTACCACCCAAAGAGAATGGCCGAAAAGCGCATGTATTGAATGTATCATGCACTCTTTTTTTTTCAACTAATTTGTTAATTATTTTTCTGTGAGATATTAAATTACCACAAATGAGTGCTATTTATTCCAACCCCAACTCATGGCGGGTTGAATCTTTTTTTTTCTCGCCCAGTCAGTGCATTGAACGCGAAACATCAGCCGAACATGGCTTTTTAGTTATATTATTGCTTTTTATCAGGATTGCCAACCCCAGAGGTGGAGAATGATCATTTTTCACCCTCCACATTTGGCTCGAGATTTGTCAAAATCTCCCTCTCTCGCTCGCTCTGCATTTTTTTCCCCCACCGAGCCATGGTAATTTTCCACCACATAGAGAATTTTTATGCATTTGATGAAGCTCAAATGGACCATCGCTATTTTTTACACGACACACTGTTAACAGATTTTCATTATAATTTCCCATCGAAAATTGCCTTTGATGGCTCACCCGATTGGTATTCAATAACAATTCATCACGCAGTGATTTATTAGGTGAAAATAATTCAATTTGAAATCTATCTCTGGCACGAAGGATTATTTTTCTCATACAAAAATTCCACGAGAAGGTCTGCTGCGGTCGGGAGTGTGAGAGAAGACGAGCTACCAGACCGGTTAAAGTCCCAAATAAATGCCATAAGTCATTTTCTTCTGGGCTGCAGTGCAAGCCAAGAAGTCTGTCCAAAAATGCAGATATTTTGCCAAGAAATTGTGCACCTATCTTGCAGTATTTGCCAGTACTTAAATCACAGCTTCGCAGCTTTGGCAGTGTAATTCATCATGTTGATGAATTTGTTGCGCGTGCAGTCGGAAAAATAGCCGCGAAAATGCGTGTATAATTTGAGAAAAACCACCTTGAGCCACTCTCGAGAGCCCCTGAGGATTGTTTTCTCGAAGTACGACGCTGCCTTCTTGATGGTCTCTTTGCCCATCACGCAGAGATAATGTACAGTAAAGATGGAGAAAAGCCCCAACGAGAAGCCTCCATATTTTATCAGATGGTACACTCGACCGCAAAAGTGTCATGTTACGTGGATTTATAGCACCTCTTTATTTTTTGATCACGCCCAAAAATATCTATAAAGTGTAAAATATTCTCTTCACACGTTCACGATATGACTGTCGCGTCCATTAGGTTTCTTCTCTATGGCCCAAAGTGGATAAATGGGATAAATAGTGTGTGAAGAGGCAACAAAAAAAGGAGACAAAGAACATCCTAACAAGGCGTCAAATAAATTTGAAAGAGTGTATTTTAGGTGGGCACGGAAATTTTCGTGTGAGGTCCTAATATGCTTTCCCGTGAGCTTTCACTGATCAACTTGTAATTATCAAATTTAGCCCCATATTCTTCTGCATTTCATATGCACACAGAATGTCAGCTTACGCAAAAGAAAGAGCCACATTGTATAAATTTTTGCTAATAAATAATTCAGTGTATATAAAATGAGACAAATAAAAGTGATCACGACATGAGACACTCAAGATTAAGATGCTTCGCGTTTGTCTTTCTGCAGAACTGCAAATGTTGCCAAGAGGGAGATTTTTATCGAAATTCGCGCCATTTTTCGCCCTCATGAATTGAGCCATTCACCGCTCAATCAAATCCTTTCTCACTTTAGAAGAGGAGCTGATTTATTGAGAAAATCCGGATGGAAAAAGCCTCGAGAAATTCTTGCAATTTTTACACGACGTTCAGATATGTTTTGCAAACACTCCAGATATTGTGAAGCGAGATTGAGGGACAAAAATGAAAAATTCTACATGCGCTCATCGAAGCCATAACTCTCAGAGATAACATCAGAATTTCGGCTCACACATTTTTTCGGGGGAATGGCTGCGAGG